TCGTTTAGCATCGCTGCCTTATGCCATCTCTGTACTCAGTATCTTCAGGATCAAAGACTGTTAGAATCAGGAAAAATTAAACAGAAAGTCTGTCTCACCATCAGTGACCTGTCTAGAGATGCCCAGCTTGAGAGCTGCCTGCAGTCACACTCAAAGGATCTGTACATTTTCCCTGTGCCATTTGGTGAGCATTAATTTTATTTTTAGCAAGTATGGACTATATCACATTGGATTGCTAAGTCCTGGAAGTCGTTAAGGTTGGAAACCTGATTTGTCTCTTTGTTCCCTATCAACATTCACTATTCTTTCCAGGGGGGTAGGTCTTTTATATCAAGTGTCATCAGATCCAGTTCTTGCTCTCTTCCAAACACAGAGAAGGCTTTCTAGATCCCTCTGCTTCTTAAATTTCCACAAAAAGGACAGCTTTTTCTATATTTTGAGGGAACCCAACATAGTCATTTTAGAGTCCAATTCAAAATAGCAACCCTTTCCTCTATCCTGAAACCTCAGAAGTAGTTTGCAGCTCTCAGCCCCTAAAATGCATGTTTCCATATTTTGATGCATCTAGTCCTCAGGGAATTCTGAAGGTTCCTCGCGGGGATGCCACAACGCTGCCCTAGAGTCCTTCCCTTTGGTATACCAGTAGTCTCAGGAGCTCTCATAAAGTGTCTTGCAGTATTGACACCAGAACTAAATACACAAGGAATATGGGTGGAGGTCATCCCATCCTATACGCTTTGCTACCCTAGGACTAGAGATCAACAGAGAAAGCTAGCCTTGATTACCCAGAAAAATAATTTATAGGAGTACTTTTAGACTCCTGAACACCAGCGGCATACCCACCTTGAGCTTCAAATGAAGCCATAACAGATGTCAAAACAGTTTTAAAATCAACTAGATAAAACAATAAACATGTATGTAATGTTAGTAGATCTCATGGCCTTGTGCAGATTCCTCACCCATCTTGCCAGATTTCACCCTGGTTCGTGCACAAGTAGCTGAGATCAGTAACACTCCCAACCAAGTATCACCTCCGAGCGCTAGTCCATGCTTCTAAAGAGGTCAAGATATGTCTACCTTTACATTGTAGTGATGGGCACCTCTGATCTTGGCTGGGTAGTACATTTTGACTCTTGCTATCTCCAGGATTTGGTGTCCCAAGAAGAGACCTCTTCACATAGCAGTTTTGGGGAAGGGGGAGAAGTTAGCTTGTGTAGCATTTTTTTACCTCTGATCCATGACAAACGTTGCAGATAATAACAGACAATACAATGGTGATGTTTTATATGAACAGACAAGGTGGGCCAGGATCATCCCGTCTGTCAGAAAGTGGTCTGTCTGTGGAACTAGTTTACCAGTTCACTGGATTACTCTTAACAGCAGTCCCGCCTGCCAGGATTACAGAACAAAGTCGCAGATTGCCTAAACAGTTTGCAGAAGACCATATGTGATAAGATCCTGTAATTCAGAGACTTTCACAGCTGTAGACATCCACACATGGGCTTGTTTTGTGCAGGTAACAAATGAATAGTGTTCTGCCTTTTTGCTCCAGAAAAGTTAGAGCCCAGAATCCCAATTGGGCAGTTGTTTTGTTCTGGATCCAATGTCTGATGTATGCATCCTCTACAAGTCCCACTTGTAATGAGGGCTGTAAGGAAACTAAGTTTGTAGACCAGTGGTTCTCAACCAGGGTGCCGTGAGATCCTTTCAAGGGTGCCATGACATATTAGCACTGTTAGGTGTGCAAACATAATTGACAAGATAAACTGAGATTTCAAATAGGAATCCATAGTGTTCAAAACATTTGGACTTGTTGTGATCTTTTGGAGTTTGTTTGCAGCAGAATTTCTCTGTTTATCTGTAGTCCAAAAATGAGGAAACACTAAGAGCTGGCATTTTCTGAGGGGTGCCTCGAGCCTGTCATGGTGTGCCTTGAAACAATCAAAGGGTGTCTCGAGTCTGAAAAGGTTGAGAACCACTTTTGTAGACAGACTGACAAAGTATACAGGGTTAAGTGGAAGGAGGGGGGACACGCTGCAGACCGGTTGATGTGTGGTAACAATTTCTTTTGTTGATTCTGTGCCACAGGATGTGCATCCTAGACTGTAGCAATTTTAGCTGTTTTGTTCAGGACTAAACTAACTAAAGCTTTAGCCTTAAGCATATAGGGTGCACATTTACCAAGAATGAACTATTCTTTTGTTTGCATTGAAAATATTTGGACAACTGCCTCTAAGAACCACAGTCAGTGCAACTCAAGCAGCTGTTCTGTTCCGTGGGGGTTCCTGTTGCGGTAGTGCCCCCTAGTGGTTACACTCTTGAATTACTTTTATTCGTGTTTAAAGTAATCCCTGAAGATCTTTTTACTGACTCCCTTAACTTTCAGTGGAAAAGGTAGCTTCATAAACTAATTTACATTTAAAAAGTATTTCGAAATGTTTACCTTTACATCTTGAATGTCTTCTCCATTATATTTTGTCCAGAGTGGTGTATATATTTTGGTAGATATCTGCTTCCTAGTAAGTAAAATACTGATGTTTTGTAAAATATTTACTTTTTTAATACAGAACTTTATTTACAAGAAACATTTAAGCCTTTAGTGAACATCTCCCCAGATGCAAGGTAAGCATTTGCATCATTTTTGTTTAATTCAGAATTTCTGCAGCTGGTGTTCATGTAATTAGTCCTTGGGCCTTTTTTTTATTTGGGTTAAATAGAAACAAGGTTTGTATTTGTGAATTACAGTAAATTCATGAAGAATGGAAACACTGTTTACATGTGTTTAATTGACTCCAACTACAAACTGGCCCAAAATCAGAGATGACTGCTGGTGGGGGTGCTGTACTGCAAGTTGGAAACTTGCTTCTAATTCCTACCCATAAGTCGAGGAGGGAACGGATTTGATGACGCCATTTCATTCTTAGGAGAACTCTACATGGTTCAGTCATTTATATGCGACTGCAATGCAGTCACAAGTCTCGGGCTAGCTTTAACTGAGCTAGCTTGTTTACTAGAAGCAGAGTAGCTGTAGCCGGGCTCTGCCTAGGCTAGTTTACCCTTCTGTGTGTGTGTGTGTGTGTGTGTGTGTGTTGTGTATTTCTGAAATGCAGTGAGAAGCAGGATAAACTAAGAGCCTTTTGTTGCCCCAACCAGACTGCCTAAATTGTCTCTTATACTGTGCTACAGTCTGCAGCATAGACATACCCACAGTTTTGGTATGCTTTTTCTGGTTTGCTTGGGATCCAGAAGGAGACAGATTTGTGCCACTCCTCGTGGGTTGAGACTTAGTACAGTTCTAGTCCCTGAAACGTCCTTGGATTGTATTTTGTGTAATTATCTGAGTTGGAAAAGCAGATATTGAAAAGATGATTCTTGCATGCTTCCCTTGGCTGTTCCTAATTACTAAGGAATATCTTTTTTATCTGTGTGCTGCTGTGATAGATGGATTGCTACTTTCTGCATCAGTGGTATACAAATGCTAGCTTTCTGGAGGCTTGTCTTAAGCATTTGTTCCAGCAGTCTAGGAAACAGCGAAGATTTAGCATTTATTTTAAAATGTGTAATATCTTTTTCTTAAATGTTTACAACATGATCAAAGGAAATAAAAGAAGTCGCACCAGCATTCCTTAGTTCCTATCGATAATTTCAGAAAAAGTGGAGTTAGAGCAGGGGTGGGCAAAATACAGCCTGCAGGCCAGATCTGGCCTGCGGCTGCCCCCACCCACCCCTGCCTGGAGCAGCCCGTGCCACACTCCCACCCCACACCTGCCGACAGCACTACCCTAGCCCCAGCCAGTGCATACAGCTTCTCAAAGCTGCTGCCCCTGCTGCTGCTGCAGCTATCCAGGTACTGCCCAGTTCACCGTGCCTCCAGCAGCAGGTCTTCTTCCTGCCCCTCCTGTACTGTTCTGAGCAGCAAGTAGTGTGGGGGCAGGTGCTGGGCAGCACAGGCACCTATACATGTGACAGAGTGCTCTTACAACATGTGCTAGTTAGCAGGCATTGGAGCAGACTCAAGTCTGCTGGAGTGTGCTAATTAGCGTGCTCCAGGAACCTCCGCATCACGTGTATTCAGCATCCCCCACATTTCAAAATGGCAGTGGGGTGTTTCAACTACAGCTCGCTGCCCGGCACAATGAGGCAGCCAGCTGGGTGGAAGGCAGCTGGAGCCCCGCGTGCTGGGGCAGGAGCCATGTGGTGTGGGTGCCCTGGGCAGGAGCGGGCACACATCAGCCCCATGTGGAGCCCTGCAGGGGCAGCCGTGGGCTGGATTTTGGGGAGTGGGCACTGAACATGCACCACACCTCCCAGGCAAAGTCTGCTGCATGTGCCCCCTGACCCCTCCCTCCCCAGCCCTCCAGCCAGCTCTCAGGACCTGGCATGTGGGCTGTTATATGCAATATAACATATTATATCACCTCTACATATACTACTCAAACAAACATAAATCAGGTCACAAAATATTTTTTGAAATAAAATTAAAATATTTTGTAGTAGATGTTTGACTTTTAATATGCATTTTGCTTTTTATCTATAATTTGTTCAGATGGTATCTTCTGAAACATTTTGTGTGTGCGGCACTTGACAGCTCACCAGAACTCGTTAAGTGGCCCTCCAGTCGAAATAATTGCCCACCTCTGAGCTAGTGTTCAGAATACCAGAACACTGTAGAGTAGGGGTTGGCTGCCTTTTGTCCCTGTGGACGACCCAGCCCCCTGCCATGGGCTGTGAACCCCTGTGCGCTCACCCCTGAAAAGCTCAAGCAACCTGCACTTAGCCTCACCGCACATGCCCAGCCGCTCTGCAGCCTAGGTAACGTTAAGGCACAAAGGAGCAGCAGGGAGCACTGCAGGGGGGACGGGC